CCGTTTTGCGAGAAATGTATGGAGCATTTTTCCTTACGAACGTTTCATTAGCAATTCTCATCTTAGATGAGGACGAAAACAAATTGAACGGAAATTCTACTCCACTCGCGTTTTTTCCTTAGAACACAAGGCGTGAAACTCTTATAAAGAGACAAGTCCGGAATAAGTAATTATCCATTTTCGTCATTTTTGCTACAAATGAAGCTATACGACGCTATGCTTGTTAGTAAACTAAGCATTTACGTTTACTTAGCAAGTCACGGCTGCGGCCATTGATAATGTTATTCGTGATATATGCTTTCTCTTTCACACCAGTGCATGATATTATAGGCCAATTCAAGGCCTAATCACTTAAAAAAATTTTAATTTATTTTTAAATTTTGTGAAGCATTGTGTATGCAAATCATTCAATAAGAAAATTCATATAGTGATCTTTGCATATCTCTTAATATATGTAAATTTGTGAATGAAGAGAAAAGGAGAGCGATAGGTTCAAGGTGAACCAGAGAGAGAGAGAGAGAGAGAGAGAGAGAGAGAGATAAAACTTGTCTGCTCAAGTGCATCTCTCTCCTAATGCAAATAATTCCTTTTTCAACAAATCCATCTAAACAGATTTTTTTTAAACTCGAACACTTTTGTTAACTGTCACAGCAAAAAAAAAAAAAAATGAAAAAATAAATAAATAAATAAATAAATAAAAAAATAAAAAAAAAGGAAGGAAGTTATATTCGAATTGGATCGAATCCATCAATAATCCATCATATACAATGTTTGCGTACAACGGATACAACGGATATTTTTTCAGTTAATCTGCAGATCTATAGATCGTACAATTTGGGTGCACTTTGTGTGCAGTTGTACGAATTTAAGATAATACTTATATAGAGCGTTTTAAGTCAGTGGCCATCACCGAAGGATGACAGTGTACTAAACCTATGCATAGCTGCGTATAATGGTTACATACATAAATAAATAAATTATACAAATGTAAGACATTCGGAGCCAACTTCGATAGGTGCGTCATAATAGGTTGATTTCATAATCTCTGACCAGTGAGCAGCAAAAATCTGAAATTTACAACTTGTGACAGATGTTGTTTGAAGACACGGCAGAAACACTTTTTACGGGGAACAATCGCTTGACTATTAAAGCCACAATTAAGCAAATATTCTGACATTATTCTGAAATATTATCTTGAGGCGATGCCTATCGCCTATAGGCGTGTACAAATTTCTTGGTTTTTTTAGTATTTATTGTCAAGACGTGAAATCCGTTTAGACCGAAGTCGTTGTTGAAGAGCAAGTTAAAGCCCGACTTTTATCACTAAAGAAAAATAGGAACAATTATCAATTTCTTGGTAATTGGCTTGCAGATGGATTTGGGTGAAATTGCCGAAATTGTCCGCAGCGGAACGATAAGAAGAACTTTTGAGTTTCATCTTCTAATGTTTATCTCAAGGTGTTGCAAACAGTTGACTAAAAAGACGATGCTTTAGAATGCCTTGTGCAGAAAATTGTGTTCATGTTGATATGTATGTCTATTAATGCATAAATATACATATGTATGTATATTACTATATGCAAATACAGATGTAAATTGATTTTGCTAAGTCGAGCACATTGTTTGCTTGTCATTGCGTCGACTTCTTCCATCATGTTTGAATGCTGTTCACACCCTTTGCAAATGTTCTTAAAAAGTACAAGATAATCGGGCGTCTGCGGGCGTCGTTCATTTCTTAACATTCAAATCAAACCACTAGGAATCGATTGGCCCGGCAGAATGGCAGCGTTACTTTGACAACGACATTGGATTAAGTTAAATGGAAATTTCTTGTTTTCCAATTTTTCGAATTATATTCTAATGCTTTAGTTAAATCTGAAAGGTGTTTGCGTCTTCACTAAGTGTGTATGCAATGTAATTGGGCTGCGTGTGTGTAATGAGAGATGATGTGTGGAAAAAATTGACAGATTATAACTAGACGTTAGACATATGGTATAGTATGTACTAATTGGCTCTTCTAGTACCCACAGTATCGACAAATTCAGGTTATTAATGTATGTTGCAATAAAGTAAACATCCATGCAATATGTTTCGAATTCGAAAGCAAATAAATAATTAATGATAATAATTTAAAAAAAAAAAAAAAAATGCGTTTATGTAAAAATAACTGCATATAAGTGATAAGAATGAAAGAAAATAATATCAGTTGCATGCGATGCATCGTCTCAAAAAATTACATATAAAAAAGTGTACTTAGCACGAGCACGTTGCTAATTGTGGGCATGGTAAATGGTCGGTTCGGGTCATCTCTATACTAGCCTTTCGAACGCTGTACGACAATACGTAATGTTGTGTGTTGTGAGTTTTAATTTTTAATCTATTGCGGATAGGCTTGTGGATGCATTCATTGAATGCTATCAACTAAGAATTTCATGCGAAGTTCTGAAGGTTCATGTCTCTATTTTAACGCTCGCAACAATGAGCATTTCCGTAACAGGCCCAGGGAAGTCGGACAAGCAAATATGCATTGCCTAAATCGATGAAGGTCTTGCGTAGATAAATATTATATATATACAATGGTAAATGGAAAGTTACGCGTAGTATATCTTCTTTCTTCGACGCAATCTGATTATGCACCACTCTAACTAAATAATATATAAATCAAAAACATGACTTTTCTGTGGCCCTATCGATAGACCAGTAACAACTCTTTCTTACTTAATAAATAATGAGAATTTTGGCATTTGAGAATTAATTAATGACAGAAGTGGGGAAAAGAGCTCGGGAGGACTGCGGACCTGGTCATTGGCGGCCATGTATACAGAATATGATATTTAGTTTCGTGTATCGCAAATGAAATGGGGAAAAAATGTGTGTGTGTTTGCGCCATCATTGCTTAGTACTAAACTTAGTTTTAGCAATAAAATAAACAAATACTAGTAATAAACCTCGTCTTAATGCCTTAGATTTAACATTTGTCTTGTGTACGCAAACAACACTTTCATCTAATTAGGTGTATGTTTCGATTCGACTTCTTTATCTCTCTCATTAAGATACAACAATGTCCATGGAGTAGCATTTTCAGTTTCGAGAATAGCTACAAGCCCGACGAAAGAATGCCAAGGCAGTAAGTCCTGTATTAATTGCTTGGTCTTGCGGAGGAAATGCTTACTGCACTACGTTGCCAGTATTGAAGAAAACTTAGCCTTACTACATTTTAACTAAAATCATCATAGATCGTATCGTATCGTATCGTATATAGACGGAGAAATTTTCAAAGTGCAAAGTGCAAAATTTATATACTCAGCCTTTTTTATATATGTGGTTTCTCTGGCAATAATGGGCAGATTCTTGGCTTAATTTAATTGATTTAGTCGATCAGGGGAATTATCATTGTAAGGACCACAGTCTGTAATTTGGCTCTATATTTGAACTCGAGCTATTGACGGGTATACTAGTTCGATAGTTTCTCATATGTACTTGGTTTAATGTAAAGGTACGGCATAGACACAGATAGTTTTTCGCATTCGAACTAGAGGAACTAATGATGATTGTTCCCATTCTCTTGTTTGTTGTAGCCACCGACAGGATCACGTCACAAGTAAGATAATCTGCGTCAGTCCGGAAAACGACATTATCTAAAGAGCAACGAATAATAGAAATACTGATTGAACTTCATGACCACACGGAATGATCGTTCATTCAGCTTTAGGAGAATCGGAACAGGTTAGAACTATAGGTTGATAAATGAGTATAAGATTGGTATTGAAATTAATAAATCCTTGTATACGGAAGTAAGAGTGAATATGTTAGGAAGCTAAGCATCATTTATCATAGAACGTCTAGAATATATCGGTCTATCGGTGTGTAATCTTATGCACTAGCTTGCGAACAAGCCTAATACAGTTCATGACAGCATGGATCGCTTTAACGCAATGATCTGGCGTGAGGTTGGTTTTCCTCAATCAAAAAGTGCCATAATCGTAAGAATGATCTTCATAGGCAACTACAGGCAGATGGTTAAATCATTGACAGTTAAATTGATCTCGCTAGTCAGGAATGCGAATACTTAGTAGAGTCTCATTGGCGCATTTCCTATATGCTTAATGTAAATAAAGAATTCGTCAAGGTATAGAGACAAATGGAGATAGTATTCTTGGTATATATCGTTCGATATATTAGCTAATAGATAATCAATTAAAAATTTCACTTTGAATGCTTAAGTGCTATGCGGTGCTTAAGAGCGTTACAAACTAGTGTAAGTCTACAAGAGATGTTATTACTAGTTTGCGATAGATCTGCTGAATCTGTTTACGGTTGTTGTTCTTATCGGCTAAAGGTGCTCCGTGTCGTTTTGGATGTTTGTTGTTTATAAGTATGCCAGATATGTGGACGCAATAAGCGTTGATTACAATTTATACAATTTCCTCGTATTGTAGAATGGAAAAAAAAAAAGAACGTTTTAGTTGTACGAGTAATTTGCATAATTGGAATACACTGAGAGAACTTCGAATCGAGTTTCGGTGTACTATCGATAAATTGTCCCAATGCTTGGAGGAAATGTTTGACATGTAAAAGACTTAAGAGGGTACTCTGAACGAACACTGAACACAAAAAGGAAAAAACAAATAAATATTGCATTACATTCAATTTGAACGCATAGATTACCTCCTTCGAACAATGAAAGCATAAATATTATCGTGTGTTTATATAATAAGCATTTGATCTTTTATTGTATATACAATGATTTAAGGAAAATAATAAAAAATTACAAAAAGGCGAGCAAATAGAGCGCAAGAGGGAAGAAAGTAGTAAAATGAAAAAGAAGAAAAGAAAAAAAAAAAAAAAAAAAAACAACATTAAAATCCATGCAAAAAAAAAAAAAAACCAGAAATCCAATTAATTTCTATAACTGATATTCTGTGGGCAGATTTAGTTCCTTTTGAGGAACACACACACACATACAGCAATTGTTCTTAAATATTTATTTAAGCATTTACCTGTAAACGTGTTGACGGCGGTGACACTACCAAGCATATTTGCATGGTGGCGCGCAGAAATTCCTCACGTTTAGCGTTCAAGTCCTTTGGCAGTTTGGGTGCTACCGTTGCGGTAGGTGAAGTAATCGCCATCTGTTTTAGGGGTTTAATGCGTCTATTTAAACTGCTTGAGGAGGTAGTGCGGGATGGCGGTGGTGGTGAGGATGAGGTCACTGTAGTTGTCGGTATAAAAGGGTTTAAACTACGCACTAGGCTTAAAGATGTTTGAATAGTGGACGATTTACTCGGAATCGAGGCGAATGTGTCATTTGTGCTTGTGCTTGGTTTTGTGGACACTGCTAATGATTTTTGTTGTTGTTGCTGTTGCTGTTGCTGTTTTTGTACCATCTGATGAGAAGAATTCAGTTTTGTCGGTGTACTTAAACTGAAGAGTTTTCTTTTGTGAGTGCCAGGTGTGGAAGAGCAAGAGTTTAGTTGTTTTTCAAAAATTGTGCATGGAGCACAATCACTATGTGTCGATTCTTGAGAGCCAGCTCGGCTATAATTTGGCGTAGGCATCTGGGCGGAATAACTGCCTATGTGATATTTAACTGACGTTACATTCGCATCCAATTCCTCCTCGTCAAGTTCTTTTAGTTCTTCGGTTTCATCATACGTGCTATGGTACGTGCGTGCAGTAATTTCCGGTAAAAATGGATTACTTGGCGAAGCCAAAGTATATTGATAATAACTGCCTGCCGGTGAATCATCAGTTTTCTGACTCATAGATACATGAAGTTTATCATTCGATAACTCATTGCAAACGGTTGTACTAGGGAGTGCACAAAGATTTTCCCATTCACCGGAAGATGAATTACGCGATGAGGCGGTGAAGCCCTCGTTCGAATGACCTTGAATACTTCTCGAACTTTCATTGCTCGATTTAAAAAGAAAATTTTGCAAACGCGTTAACTTGGCTGCTGTACTACTCTCACTGGTTGAACTGCAGCTGCGGCTGGCCTCATTTAATGGCGGTGCGGATTCACTATGCGTATCACTTTTACTACTACTTTGCTGTTCTAAGTGTCTTTTTGATTCCGTGCTCGTCGCTGGTTTATCTCTAGTTTGTTGCGTGCTCGTAGTGCTTACTTCGGCACCCATATTATTATTGTTGCTGTTATTAAGATGCCAAGACCAGTAGCTAATGCTGGTTGCGGTAGTGGGTGATTCACAGAAATTACTTTCCAATGAGGTACTTGAATTTGTTGTCGCCACACTGCTAAGATGCCGATAGCCGAATTCCGGTGGCGTACTTTCGTCCGGGCTATCTAGCAACAATGCAGGATTGATATGACCTCCCAAGCCTGGCAAATTTGTAAGAGAGAATATAGAAGGTGAATTCTTTGGCTGCTGTTGCTGTTGCTGTTGGTGTTGCTGTTGCGTTGATTTTAGGCTTTTCGCCTCTTGGTTTTTTCCCTCCGTTTTGCCGTCAATGGGATCAGAACGATATTGCCTTTTTACTTCGAATGATTTGTGCTCGGTACGCCGAAAACTTCTCCGCAATTTCTCTGCAAATTTTGTCTTTGACTTTTCGCACTTCTCACGTGAACTTTTAGCCTTTTCACACCCTTCCTCGTTATCTAGGAGTTTTTCATGCATTTGCAAATTTTCGTTGTTCAAATCGTTATATGAAGTTAAACGTGATCCACTTGCATACGGGGACGTAGCAAAACCGCCACCCATTACGTTTGACTGCGGTTCTTCGTCCGCACTATGTGAGGAGACTATTAAACGATTCTGTTGATCACTAATATCATCGCGAGATCGTTGTAATTGAAATTGTTGCAAACTTGAGTTTTTCTGATTTATGCTAATGCAGTCAATGAATTTTCCAACACTTTCTTTAAGTGTTGGTGTTATGTCCATAATAGTCGAGAGACCGAAAAATTTTAAAAAAATTCCCCTTCTATTGCCTTTTTGTTGTTGTAATCACGTAATAGATGGGTCGACTTGGGTCAAGTGTTTTCTTTTTTTGCTTTTTGTTTTTTTTTTTTGTTTTTGTTTTTCGTAAGCTATTGTTATTTCCTTAACCTAGAGAAGCGTTTTAGGTTTTCCCCTATTTTTGAACTATTTAGACTAGGTATTAGTTTACAAGTAGAAAATATGATTGTAGTAAATTTTTCGTTTTTGCACGAAAATTTGATGTTGATTAAAAAAGAAAAAAAATATTCACATGTCCGCAGAGTTTTCTGTTGAATAAAAAGGGGAGAAATTGTTAAATATCAAAATAATTACTTTTTTTAATATTTAAATTATATTTGGAAAAATATGCCAGTATTATGCCCCCAAACAAATGAATTTATTTAGATAAAATAATTCAACTCATCTACATCGTTCGATCGAAGCAATATTGACCTCAATATGACTCGTATGACAAACTTGTCATAAATAGCCGATTGTTCACAAAATTTTGCATTTGTTTTTTCACATTAAACATTTTATTTTGAAATCTATATTAAATACCTTCCTTTATGGCATAGGTAGGTAAATAATTATGCCATAAGGCGAACACATTCGATACATTTTACTAAGCATTATTAAAGCGTATGCATAATCGTTTCATTCGTGATTCAATCATTGGATGGATACATATACGCATATAGAGCTAAACAGATATCAAATGATTGTTGCATAACACAGTAAAAATGCTATATACCGATGTATAGCAATGTTGTACACTTTTATTAGATGTGATATTAAAGGTAAATTAATTGTAGTGGTTTTTATTGAAATAAGGGACAGACGTACAGATTAAGATTCAGGCCATATAAGAGGGTAGAGATGAATGATGTATGCATACATGCGTATAATTAAGTGTGCATGTATGACAAACTACAAGAAACAACGTGTAAAGCGGATAACGCTTGTAATTGCATTTAGGAAATTGTATTATTTTATAAAGTATACCTCATAGAAACGGGAAATCGCTTTAATGTGATTAAAATGCACTTTCAATATCGAGTTTAATTTAGTGTAAATGTAAATGAAAATGAAAATGCACATTTCCCCTCATTGAGCAAAGTTGCTTTCAGTATGCGGGCAGTTAGTGTCACTCATTTATACTGAGTCATAGCCGACGGGGTAATTTTTTTTTTTTTTCGAGTTACGAGACGTAGCGAAGAGAATCTGTTTTAAGGACCACCATCACACCGATGACATTTTCAATAGTTTTTCAAAGATACATGCATAGGTATTTTCTGTTGTATCGTTGCATGCAACGAACCACAGCTTTTATCACTTGTTTAATCCAAGTTCTGTACGTTTGACATGCGAACCTACGGTTACTTACCATCCCTCTACTCTCTATTCTATCTGTGTCACATACGATTTTGCCCATAGCACAGATTCTTTGTCGGTACATCTTGTCATTAATAATGTATGTCTTTTAAGTATGCCTGCATATTGCACGCGTGATAAATTATCATCTGGCGGCGTTAGAGTTTGGACTCTCATAAGCCACAAATGTAATGATAACAACACATTATATTATACAAAAAAAAAAAAAAAAGGCGAGTAAAAATCGTATGTAGTGCAAGCCTTTCAAATTATAAACACAAAAATTATGAATTATTGATATTCCTATTCCCAAATGATAATCATAATTAAATTCAAAACTTTATCACATTCTCCTATAGGTCGCTCATACGTCATAGATATTTTTTCCGCTGCGATATTTGTAAATATTTCTCCCAAACTTTAGACCAATAATTGCTATAAGTTAGTAGTAAATTATATATATGTATAATTGTTGCGTGATTAGCTAAGAATATAGGTTTCAAAGATCAACTTTCAATATTATATCAAAGTTTATCCAAGTTTCGTCGCGACAATTATGAAGAGGCATTCCAGTAACATATGAACAAGAGAATTTAAATCAGCTCCATATCTTGCACGGACCAAGATACTGTATACTATATGGGGTCTCTAGAATATTTGCACAAATATTGCAAACTGCATATCAGAGCTAGCGCACTTTTATCTTACCAGAGTGCGGTTAAATATGTAAAATAAATTTAATTTTATTTTGCATTGAATTTCTCTAAAAGTCATTAAAAATGCTATGCAAAACGATAGGCGCAAGTAAAAGAGGTTGTTAAGCAAAACGTAAAAAATGTAATTTTAAGAACATTAACAATTTAAGAATCAAATTATCTCGTTGGCAGCTTATTAATATCGATTCTAAGATGATAGAGTATGCAGCATATAACGGTGGCTATAGAGTGAAAATTTTCATAGAGCGCATTATGCAATCTTGTGGAAAAAATGCCAAGAATGCTTTGCTTTCGGACGATAGTGTAAAACTTTTTCTTCCCCAAGTTTGATCAATATTTAATGCGTTTTTTTTTTTTTTTTTTTTGCCCGCCCAAGCCTTCCGTTTACTTGTTCTCGTTTTTAAAAGTAAATTTTCATTAAATTTTATCATGTTAAGAAGAAAGATTGGCAATTAATTATTTTACAAGAGTTAATTTTAGGTATTACGTGATTTATTGACCTGAGATTCTTTTTTCTATTTAGGCTAACGCAAACTGCTGGCGAACGGAAAAGTGAAAAATAAAAATAAAAATAAAAATTAGAACAGGAACAAAGGTAAAGGCAAAGCCAAAGAGGTATAGTGATAGTTTATATTAAAATGCGCATATGTGTGCGTTATTCGTGTTAGTTTTCATTTTACTAAAAGATTGTACACAGTTTGCAACACCTGACTGCCTGTCAATTTCAAATTACAAGCCACTAAATAAACAAAACTTACGTCATGCCACCAAGCTTTTCAAAAAAAAAAAAGAGAAAAAAATGAAGGAAAAACTAAGAGCTACAGCAAAAGAAACGTAAAGCATTTCATACTAGAACTAAGGCTCTTTTGTTACAATGTGTGTGCTTTCATTCCCTTAAAATCCTAATATTATTCACTTTCGTGCGTTTTTTATAACTGCACATATATATGTTGTGTATGCGTGCATCTGTGTATGACTGTGTATGTATGTATGTATGTATGTATGTATGTATGTATGTGTGTGCGTGTGTGTGCGTGTGTGTGTTCATATGATCTACTTAGGTGTGCTAATAGCATTTATATATATATATATGCGTGTGTGTGTGTGTGTGTGTGTGTGTCTGTGTGTGAGTTCTTGTTCTTCTTTCTACCTACATACATATGTTATTTAAACCGCCTTTCAATTTATTATTGTTGCTGCTTTTTGTAAAATATTAAATCGTTGAAAATGAATTGGTTGCTGTTGATGGCATATTTTTAGGCGTTGGGCCCCTTTTACGTTTTTCATAGCTTTTAAATTGGTTCAACTTACCTATGCAAAATACTTAAGTGTATATATACATAAATATATAACATATATATTGTACATATATATATATATAAATATATATCTATATATATATATATAGTTATATATATATAAATATATAAATATAAATATATATGTATATATCTATGATACATATATGCAAACACATGCAGGCATATGTACTTTAGTTTATGGCCGAGTACAATTTTGTTCTTTTCTTTGCTTATATTTCTTCGTTCTTCTTTAAAATTTTTCTGTTACGTTTTATTTGTTGCTTCACATATCACCAATTTTTGATAACTTAACATTCGTACAATGTGCTCCGGTAGACTGCTGGGACTAATGTTATGTAAAACGCAACTGAGGATATTAATTTACCTGAAAAGAGAAACAGAAAAATTGAAAAATAAAAAATTCATCTGTAATACTTATGACAAATATTATCGTACAACAAGTAAGAAAATTGCATTCGGTCGTGACCGAATCTTTTTTACCCATCAGCGGCATCCTAAAAAAGACAAAAAAAGTAAAAAATCTAATTTTTCATGCTCTATTGTAGGGAGTCGACGCGGCTGATTTTTTCTATTTTCGAAATAAATGTTTTTTTTTTTGCGCATAGGGCGTTGCAGGCGTGTCCTTTGAAAAGTTTAGGTCAATTTCAAATTTATTTGCAAATATTTTCATTTTTGCGAACGGGCGAATATTTACCACCGATATTACGCGATTGGGCAGACGGACAGATGGGCAGATGAATACCGGGACGTGCTTAGATGCATTCCGAATTTGAAATTGGTCGAGAATTTATATACTTTATGAGGTTTTTGACTCTTTTTTCTGCGCGTTATGAAGGTATAGTCAAAAAAAAAAAAAAAAAATGAAATTTGGAGTAAAAAAACAAAAAAATAAACCGCCTCGCCGGCGAACATATATGACAACAAACATTTGATAAAATAAATCTGCAAGAGAACGAATTTCCTTAGAATGTCGAAAGCAAATCATAAAATCATATCATAAAATAAAAAAACCTTACGCAGCTAATAATTGTCGAAAAGATTAACAATAACTGCCGAGTGAAAATTCTAATGAAAATTTCAGTATTAAGTCCGATACTTGTCACTAGTAATCAAAAGGTTTATAAACCGAGAAATTGTCTTAAAAGTAAGCAAGAGTGGAATCGTAATATTCAAAAAAAGAAGCGTTGAAACGTTGTAAAAAGTATAAGTTCCTGTATATAATTTCTCTATAGATAGCGCTTTGAAAAAATGTAAATAAATTCGACATTATTTCAAAATTTATTTTTCCAGTGCTACGAACTTAATCTCAGATGAACGTAAAATAGAAAAAAAAAAGGGAAAAAATTTTAGATAACAATAAAATAATAGTTTTATACAAGTTGCAAATGAGTTTTTTATGCCATTGTGTCATTTAAAAAATATGGCTTACGAATCCCGTAAAGTATATTTTGCTTCTTGTTTTTTTTCTTTTTGATACACACGAGATGGTAAGTGACATATTTACCAAGATTTAGAAAACGTCTACGTACGTGCCACGTTCGATCTTGGTATGTTGAAATGTATCTAAGGTTCGCCGCCAAGCGAACGAAGGACTCTTTCATTTGAGGTTTTTTTGTAAGAAAATCGTATTACAATTATTAAAGATGCATAAATATCGTTTTGGTAAAGTTCAAAGTCAATCAATGTTTCAATCATTCTCTTACTTATTGTAACTTTTAGTGTTGCGGCATTCAGTAATCGGCTTCATCTTAGTGCAAATTTTACGTCCAACGCGTTTCTTATATCATACTTGATTTGGATTTATTTTGCTTCCGATAGAATTGTTATAAGACGCATTCAAGTCCTTTCCAATTTGCCTACTGTTTGTTCTTTTAAGCTAATTTCTGCTTATTTTCTATTTTCTATACTCACTCTGCGGGTGAATTTTTAGCTTTTAATTTGTGCCGGTATTTAGTCCGTCTCATTGATGCACACAAAAGTTTTTGCATTTCCTAGTTTGGCCTTTGCGATCACTTCTTCTTCTCTAGTTTACAGTTATAAATTAGGTGAGACGTTTTCTAAAAGCTTTCGTTTTTGCTTTTGTTCTCTGTCGTATAACATCTAAATACTCTGTGGCGTATTGCCTTAAGATATGCAATATTATATGGAGAGAATTCTCTTTCGTAGTTCAACTTATTGAAATAACTGCTACTTGAGCAGCAAATGAAACCTTAAAAGCTGACTAAAAAATAAAAACCAACAACAAACAAGAATGACAAATGGAAATAGAAAACAATTTCAATAATTGCAAGTTTTACTTTTGCGGTTATACAGTTTTTTTTATTTTCTTTTTCCTTTACCTTCTCTAATATTTCCTGCTCGCATAATAAATAAAGGTATATCAAATTGATTATTCCATTTGTATCTTAATGTACATTCCTAATCGATGTTCATTTTTTTCAAATAAATATTTATTGGCCTATTTATGCCGGCATTTTTCAATAAGAATGATTTATATAATTTCTTTAAAGCGAACAGATAATAATAAAAATTGAATAAAAGCAGAGAGAGTGGATTTTCTTGTTTTTGGAATATATCCAATACACTTAAGTTTTCACTTGTATGCTTGCCAAAACTCCTCTTACAGAAGCATCTTATCCCATGTACTTTGTTTTTTTTAATATTAATTTGTCTTATTAAATCACGGGAGAGGAATTTTCTGAAATTATCGCATGCTATTTAGCTTGTAGCAATATCTTGTTGAAATCATATATTATTTACTAGCGCCGACCTGTAGCACTTTCTATTCACGGTAATGGGGTCTACATTCTCATTTTCAAAAAAAGAAAAAAAAAAGAAAAAAAAAATAAATAAATAAATAAAGGCAAATAGCGATCATAGCGCTACACGAAATGGACATTTTTCCGAAATGTAAAACAATCTTGTGAATAATTTTCATCTCAAAACCACAATTTCCAATTATTTATGGCGATGACAATGATCCGAATCTTGGCTAATGCATAAAAGGTTACAATATAGGAAAAACTTAAATAATTTTCAAAGATTATTGAAATGTATGCCGCCTTCCAATAATGAAATCGCAAAGCTGATTAGATGCAAAGGTGATCTTTGTATTTAAAATATGCTCGCAATGTTAAGAAGAAATCATAAGATCCCCTCTTACGAGTTAAACGAGCTTTGGTGTTACGTAAGCACCTCAACTTTGTTTATCAGATAAAGAGCTAATGTATTTTCAAAACCAATGACATTAGTTTTAATATTTTAATGAATAAAAGTGAAGTTGAATTTGCTTTAAATTTTTGTCTATCCATTGGCCATCTTTGAGAAAATGTACTCATGTAAATGTTTTCCAAAATAAATATGAAATAATCATATAATGGAAGGGTACAGGAACTCCAAAATCGATTGAAGCAAAGAATTTCATTCACTATAATAAATTATTGCATGCAATATTTTTTTTGTTAAGTAAGAAAAGAAAAAGCATTGCCCTACCGGACAATTAATTAGACGTATTTTAAGTATGAGATTTGTTCCTGTCCGCTCGATATCAAACGATTGTTTCTGGATTTCACCGAAGAGAGACTTAGTGCCGACTTTTAAATGCCATAACAGATAATAGTAATA